AAGTCAGTGACGCGGCCAGGTCACTCGGGGGGGGGGCAGAACATTTTAAGGGGGAGGCAATAAATTAAATAGCTGAAATTGATCTGAATTTTTAATAAAATGGTAACAAAATGGACCAACTATAACTTTTGTGGGTAACGAACAGAAAATAATCGTGAAAATACTTCCTATCATAGAAGTAATGGCGAATCATCCGCAAATTTTAGAGTGAAACCGATCGATATAATATAGTTAAAAAAAAATAAAACGCGGTAAAAGTATTGGTAAACCACCTGTAAATTTTACGCTATGATGGGTACAAGTTACCGTGAATTTTATAATACACTTTTTACAGGGTACAATTGCACTAAGCTTTATTAATCAGAATTTTGGAAAGTTAGACACGCCACTTGCAAGGGATGCGATAAAGTGCAAAGGCGGAAAGAGAAATATTGGATTTCTGGTGATGTCGGGTCGACTTGACAATCCATATTCTACCAACTCACCTTATCTATTTCCTGCAGATTCTTTCTTTGAGGTCAGTTTTTTTTAACCCTTTTACCCTGTACCTCTAGCTAGTTAAACAAAAGAAACACAACTTTTCTAGTTATTGTTCTGAATTTCATTTTTGTAGAAATTTGTGTGATCATTAAGTACACTTTGTATAGAGGGAAATAATGAAGTGAACGTTTGTTGAAATAAGAAGTTAATTACGTTTTGAGTTTGTGTGCTTGGTGATTCAAAAATTTAGTTTATTGTGATTTCTTTCCAGATGTTTCTTTATCGCAAGTTATTACCCTCGTTCCCTGTGCGTGTGTGTGTGTGGGGGGGGGGGTTTGCTGATATTGCAATCGGGTCCGTGTGTCTGTCTGTTTCCACACGCACATATCTATAAAACTAAGAGACTGACGTACACGAAAGTTTTATGCAAGATGGGTAGTCAGAATAGGACAGTCCTCTCCAAATTTGGTCCGGATCCAAATCCGGATTCTGTATCATTATGAAGCTTTTTATTTTATATGATGGAAGGATGAGGCATTTTCGTGGTTTTGGGTTAATAACTCTGTTAAGTGTGGTCGGATTTGTACCAAATTTCATGGGCCCCATTAAGGTTGAGACCCCCCTCATTACACTAAAAAAAAAATGATCTTGATCGTTGATCATTCTGACTCTGAGAAGGATTTTTTTGCGTTTTTAAAGGTGAAATTTGACGTTATCCAATATAAACGCATGCAATCTCGAAAAGGAACGGCGGGGCGAGGGTGTGCAATCCCTCTGATTACTCTTGTTTAATTAGTATCGCAATTCACTATAAGAACTAGAAAAAAAAAGTTGTCTTTATATATTACAGGATATTAATGATTAACATGACGAAAAAGAAAAGACGCGTCACGTAAAAAAAGATCATGTAAATAACTTTAATCCCTAATGTTGTACTTGAACTCATTTCCATGTCTTCAACCAGATAGCGCAACACGCAACAACTGTGTACTCGAATGAACATAATCGTTGATTTATATGCTGTAAAAAACGTAATTAGCGACTTTTTTTTTTGCTTTTGTAATTACAAAGCTACACAAAGAACTATCTGTATATCAGAGGAATCGAACCCTCAAACTTACCTCTGAACCATTCGGGGAATATGAAATGATATGTTATGCTCTCAACATAATTAACGATCGTTACATTATTTGTGTTTCCACTAAATCGACAGTACTAAAAAACTTGGAAGTTTTATTGTTTTTGTACCTCTCTCATGTTACGAAATTATAAAATTTATATTGTTGTTTTTGTCTTACGTCTATCATTTTAGATCAACCTATAACTGTTACTTCAAAACAGCGTAGCTCATCCAGCTTCACAAACACTCCATTTCATTCCATTCGGTGTGTGTGTGTGTGTATGTTAAGAAATTGAAGGTGCTTGTGCCTTTATACGGAACTTCAATTACGTTAGGTTTTATGAAACTAACCCAATGATTAGACCGAGTCTCTCGTGTAACTCATCAATCACTTTCGGCTATCACGAGGGTACAAGAGAGAACTGACCACAAGAAACTACGTTACTTAGTTCTATCTAAAGGAGGAAGGCAGCTTCAGAGGTATAGATCGATAGGCATGTAAGAATGATGTTTTATTGAACACTGAATGCGGTAACAGATTAAATAACAAACGTCGTTCTAGAGATTAGATACGTATTTAAAAAGAAAAATATATAACACTCAGCTCTCAAAAGTATAATCCTCATTAATGTATGAATCCAATAAACCCTAGTTAAAACTGATAAATATATCATAAAAAACTACATGATACAGCTCTTAGCCTTGCTTATAACGTTTTATATCTCTAGCAATGAATAAAAGAAATAACAGCTAATGCATATCAAAAGCTTCTCTTGCGAAAGACAAACTAATTTTTTTTTATCTCGTTCTTTAATAAGTACACATCCCGAATATTTTTTTTATTATAAGCTTAGTCCACACTGAGCACTTGTGGAGAAAAATGACTGCATTTTTACATTCATTATTTTTTAACGGTAGCTATATCCAAATGACTTGTCTTTCGTGTAAAACAAAACCAACTTAAATTGGAAATTGAAAAACGACATCTGAGTTTATGGTCTCTCGATTCGTACATTTCTCTTATATCGTAGCTTCTTCAAAAGACAGTGTATCAAGTTTTACATTTTCTATAAAGCTGTGTACATTTTGAGATATTCGTAATATACAATAAACTGAATTAAGAACAAACAATTTTAATGCTTTTTCCTATACATTTGTATTCGCACGTGGCATGGAGAAGTTTACTACTATAGTTGCTCTTCTCAGGCGTATATTAACACTCGAAAATCAGCTAGAGTACCAATTTCAAATAATGTCGATATGGCGACGCTCTGCCTGTTATCATTCACGCCAAATTAAGCAGTGGCCCCGGGCTTCGAGTGAAAATCTTCATACCACTGCTAGTTTTGGGCTGCCTATTTCTCTTTCCCATGATATGCCTTTCCCTGCCATACATATATATTTAGCTTCGGCTCATTGAATTGAATTCAGTGAGTGACTATACTTTTCCTTGTGTTACGTCTAGCTACTCTGTCGGGCGTGAATTGGTCCTTACTATATTGAACTTTTCATCGGCGACACGCTGGTTGCTATTATTAGTAAACTGAAATGAAAACAGCCTGCATATTTTACATCTATACAAAGTAATGCATACGGAAATTCAGCTTATCTTCCAAGCCTAA